CAACAATTTTGGAAAGTTTCTCCGGAAAATTTTTTTGACAACTCGGGCACAATCCGAAAAAGTCGGGCAAATTTCTTTCCGCCGCCCCCCCCCCTAATTTTTTCCTTCCCGTACGCCCATGCCCGCGCACAACTGACCTTTCGTGCTGAATTAAACTAAAGTCAGCAATGAGCTGTGTAAACCTTGAATGGCATTGATATCAATGACTATATTCTTTGCTCAAAACCCACGACATTCGGCAAGGCGTTGACAGCCTCTTTTCCCATGAGTCCGCAGCGCGAATCGAACCCACAATCTCGGAGGTGAAGCGCGCTTGCTCAGGCAGTGACGATCACTGCGCCACCGAAGCTTGGGCATTTGTAACAATCGTTGCAAAATTGTTAAAATTACCAATTTTCTTGCTTCTTTTCCACTTGTTAATTTGGTAGGGTGCTTGGCCAGTACTGCGGCAGCCTTCCTGAGAAAACAATGCATTTTAATGCAAGATATACAAAATGTTTTTATCATCATGGCACTAAATTTAATTTTAACAAAGATATTGAAAACCATGCATGTTTAAAAAGCATATAACAGGAAACGGGAAAAGTGAGAAGAGAATCGTTTTGAGTTGAATGAGAAAAATAACAAGGGTGGGATAGTACAGTAATTCGCATAAGCAAACCAGATATTCACAATATTAGTTTTTAAACTATTCTTATACCTGTATGCATTATATTTGTGAATTTGTCGATTCACATTCCGTTCATATTCGGCCAATTCTAATGAAATTAAGAACACATGCAACGATGAAATACAAACAGCATCCACACAGCACGGTACGAATTCAAAACCCTACATGTAATAAACAACAACAATCAAAACCCTACATGTAATAAACAACAACAACAGCAACAGCAACAACAACAACAACAACAACAACAACAACAACAACAACAGATGCTGCATAACATTTTAATATTTTTTCTAGCTTTCCAGACCCATTTACCATTTCGTTCTTCTTTAATATCTGCCTGCAGGAGCTGTTAGGCCTGTTTCAAACGTCACGCTTCTCATGTTCCAAACGCATTGAAAACAATAGATAATCAGCTGAAATGCCTCTCAACTTGTGCTCACAGAGGCTGTATATTAGAGCGATCTGGGACAGCATGCACCCCTGTTTTTTTTAAACTCAGTATTACTGTACAATGGCATTATGAATTTATGGCAATTAATCAGAAATAGGTATAATTATTAAATCCATTTATTACAATACAGATAAGTGTTAATGACACTGAAGTTCAAATCTCAGGTAAAATCCCTATAAACTCCAGATGCTTCGGTTCATTCTTGGCTTTGGGTCGGTTGTTCGAAAGCCAGCAGTTAACTTCTTAAATCCTAGGTTAACGAAAATCTTCAAAGTTCAGTCTCCAAAACAGCTTGTTTATAATGTTAAACATGAAAATATTTGTTTGAAACAATCAAAGTGTTATTTTCTAAAGTTTTGAAATTAACCCACTGTGTGTCAATAATCTCCCCTTGTCCTTGATTCATGAGAAAAATCGTCTGGTGTTAGACATTTATAATAAAACTAGGGGCAGGGCATACAAAAGGTGCATTACAAGCAAAAGGGTTAATGGACATGCAGCAGGTTAAATCTAACTCAGGAATACTAATCCAGCTTTGAACAATTGGCCCCTGCAGTGAAATGTTTTCTATCCAAGATGTTTTCATAGCCATACTGTAGAATTAAATGGAAGATTGGGAGGGGAGGGTCAGGGAGAAATTTGGATGCCAACATGAGCAAACTTTACCTGGAGCAATGTTACTATATCATGTACCCAGTTTAGTACAGGGCCGTAGCAACCGGGGGGGAAGGGGGCTGGGGGGGGCGGTTGCAGTCCCCCCCCCCGATAATTTGCAAATTACCATTCATTTTTCAAAATCATGCAGACCTTTATCATTTAATCCATGACAAACTGCAAAGAATGAAGATATTACCCATACTTTTAATTCCTGCAACTTATCCAATATATAGTTAATTAAATACACCTTCGCCCATTTAATACTACTGAATTGTAAATTTCGACATACTAAAACGCTGTTTTCTGACCATCAGAAATCTGTCAAATCTTCCCCAAAGTCCAGGAAATGGCATTTCAGAGACTCTAAATTTAAACATTTCCTCGGGCCTTCGGCCCTCACTTTCAGCCTAAACGTAAAAAGAGCTTCCTATGGCCCTGTAGTATAACAGACAAGTGCTACATTTGAAAGCCCTCCTCTGCAAGCTGGAGCCACAATTTAGAGCTGCCAAGTTCAGATAATTAAAAACCTGGAGGCTACTAGCAGCAAGCATTATCATGCAATTCATAGCTGATATGCACCCATTTGAAAATTGTGTTTTCTATAGTCTTTGGATTTTGGAATGCTATTTAATGCCTGCACTAGAAAATATATAACAAGGCATAGGGACTTGGAATATTTGTTTCTTTAGTTATCTCTCGACCTCCACACCTCAAACAATTTTTATCAGCCTAAGCGGCCTTTGAAGAATCAGAAAACAACAGAAAAAGTTCAGTCCTAAATCGTATTCCTTGTATTCAAAGATGCAGAATTCGAACAATAAAAATACTTTCCATCTGCGAGACCTGCAGTTCAGCCCCAAAAGGAGACTCACATGTAAACCATGGAGACCTGGCAACTCTGACAATTTATACAATTTGAATGAATTTATTAAACTGAGTGGGTAACGCTTTTAAATTTTGGTTCTAAATCCGTAGATACAGCACTTCAGCACATATTTTAGCCCAATTTCACCTATGAGTATGAACAATTGTGGAGGAGCCTTGATCAAATCTTACATTTTTTATTTAATTTAGCAATACCATTAGAGAAGCCAAGACGTGATATGTCACACATTCTCATCTTCCGAACTTGGCAGGTCTGGGGGTGCATATTTTATTGATATCTTTTAAAGAAAATCCACTGCCCCCTCCTGAGACGTAATAAACTATCGGTCCTTTAGACAGCCTAAATTTAACCTGGGAGGGTTATTGCTAATCATGCTTTTACGTTTTAACAATAACAACAAGCCCATGTGGCTCTAACCACAGTGACGCAATTCTGTACTGTAACGGCTGTAAATAAATGTAATGGCTATGTAAATAAATGAAATATCTGTGACAATTACTTGCCAGACACCATTCAAAATTGTCCTCAATAATGGGATCAAACCCTCAGACTGACTGCTGTCAACCACTCTGGTATCAAAAATATGTTCTGTGCAACATTGCTGCAGTCCATTCATCCAGTTCCATCCCCTTTTTCAGGGGGGAGACCGGTTATGTAGACATAAATAGAATAATTTAAATTAACGTTTTGCCCTATATCAAATATATTTGTGCATACCCTTACCAAACTGACAGATATGTGACAGATATATGTCACAGTTCTGTAAAATATCTGCAAAATATATGTACAAAAGTATCTGTCACATATCTGCAACATATAGGAATTTGGCCCCATAACATATCTGTCACAGTTATGTGACAGATATCTGTCACAGTTATGTGACAGATATCTGTCACAGTTATGTGGCAGATATCTGTCACAGTTATATGACAGATATCTGTCACATATCTGCAACATATAGGAATTTGGTCCAATAACATATCTGTCACAGTTATGTGACAGTATAGTTTCCCTGCAGATAAAAGTATCTGTATATTATCTACCAAACAGGTATGTCACATAACTGCCACCAAGTGAGATTTATCTCTTGCATAAAACTATTTCCTTTTACTTCTGCAACATCACGTTGCTGCAACTGTACCTCTGTCATGTTCACTTGAAGCCATAAATAATTTAATACGAAGAAATATTAGATCAGAATAGTAAATGTATTTATTAGTAAATATATAATTATGATAGGTTACACATATAGATAAATTTAAGACTGTACAATCAATTTTTCTCCAGGGGCCAGTTGTTCAAGGGTGGATTAGCTTAACCCTAGGTTAACCTAAACTTCAAAGCAAACTTCCTGATAGCTTGTCTATAAATTTGGAAATATTTCTTCAGAGATCTTGTCTGGATCAATAGGAGTTTTCTTCTTTGAAGTTTTGAAATAAACAGGCGTGTAGAAATACACAAACTAAAACAGCAGGCTAAATTTTAACCCAGGGTTAGCGCTAGTCCAGTATTGAACAACCGGGCCCTGGGGCAGAGTAATTACACTTACTATAACCTACACTTATTTAAAATTTCCTAATATTATATTTATATACATGGCCAGCAATAAATAATGAGTACCTAAAAGTCATTAATTGTTAATGTCAAGTCTCACTCAGCTGGTTTGCTTTTAGTTCAAGCCCCACAGCATTTGTCATGTACCATGTACTGCATAGCAGCTGTCTTTCCATAGACTGTATCATCCAGAACAAAAGCTGAAAAAATAGGAATTGATAAAATCAGATTTATTTAATATGTTTTAGATTTAATTGGCATTGAGACATCAAGAATAATCTAGATAGTGTCAGGCCAAATGGGGGATGCCCTTAGGG